AGTTTTGCATAGAGTAGGGAAAGGTTAAAACCCATTGGGGGGATTTCACTTCTACATCAGGGGTAAGCAGTCTTGGCACTCTAGCTGTTGTGGAAATACAAATCCCATGAGGCACTGCTAGACTCTGACACCCCAAAGCATGACTCCCAGAGGCATATTGGGATTTCTAGTTTCACCACAGATGAAGTACCAAGGTTGCCTAGCCCTGGTCTACATAATGATAGATCCCCTTTTAGACACATGTCACCAGAACATATGTCCTCATTGAGTGTCCTCACCTCTTCTTCTGGTGACAACTGTAACAATGTCCCATCACTTTCTGCCTTAGTGACAAATATTACACAGACAAAAAAAGAGAGGGTGGATGTACCCAGCTGGGACACAGATAAGCAAAAACTATTTGACAAGAGTTATAATCCTTCCCTATTCTATACAATACGAAACATAAACATCTTTGGTATACATACGCTTCAAGAATTGTAATTTTTGTAATTAAATTAGATTGTGTTGAGAAAAAAAGTCTAATAAGTTATTTTAAACTATGGCACTTTTTCTTTCCTCTATGTTATTGTACTTACATGTAAAAATTGCATTGGTGATAAATACTACAACTGTTACTCCTATGGCCAGTAGATGGCAGTATAACACTTGTGTTCTGCTCTCTCCACTAGACTCCTCAAAGAACATTTATAAGAATGTATTACCATTTTTCATGTGCCTACTGTATCTCTGGTTCTTGGTTAAGGTATATTACGAATTGTCACTAATATCTGGCCAACCCATTGACTTTCTGTCTTTAGAGTTTATTATTTAATAAGATTTCTGAAGCAACACTACAATAATAGGACATCAGTACCACACACCAGCCACTAGGTGGCGCCCTCTGCATGTCCTGTGCACATCAAGTTCTTCAGTTTAATTGAATCTCAAAGCTATTAGTTGAAGTACAGCCGAAGCTGGAGTAACAGCTGCTAAATGACAATACATATAAACATTGATGCTTTATTAGACTCTTAAGTATTTTAATGTATCACTGAACTCATAACCTTTGTAAATTAGCGGAGTGGTGTTATTACACGTTCCCTGAAAGAGTACCCTTGATGCCTAATTAAGACCTTCATCACTACTGCAATGTACAGCATACGCTGCTATGAGTTGTAACCAGAATATCTGGAGGTATTTTGAGGGAAATGTATTAAAATCATACAAAAATAACTAAGAGCATGTTAATATAAGCATTATTTTATTATTATAAATCTGACAAAAAGATTACTATTCAAATCTTGTCATTTGCATATGGCCTGGGCAAACTTACAGGGTTATTCACAAAAGGGTGAAGAGTTTGGAGAAGGCAGGAGAAGTGAACAATCTAGGACAACATAGCTGAACTGGAAAGTGAGCTGAATTGGAGATTTTTTCCAAATCAGCTTCTTTTAGCCTAGATTATTCACTTATCCTGTCCTCTGAAACCCTTCGCCCTTTTGTGAATAACCCTGTAAATGAACTAGGTAAAAGTATACTGATGTGTAAATGAAAAGCTATCTTAAAGCTAGCTAGAGTTTTATTAGTGTTACTAGAAAACATGCAGGACATCATTTAAACAATGTCTAGGTTGTCTTTACTAGCCAATGAGATTCCAGCTGTATTTTTTTTGGAGTTGACTGAGAAGGACAGCTGGCATCTGATTGGTTGCTATGATCAACATGGTTTTCTTTGCTCCAGTTTTAACAAATCAGCCTGAAGAAAATGCATTGGTTGTATGTTTCAAAAAAGAACTCTCCTTCAACAAGGATTACACTTATTTGTAAACAGAAACAGAAATCACATTCCAATGACTAAACAACAGCCCAAACAGGAAAGGTTCTCATCAGCATTGCTCCTTCTCAATACTATGCAAGTAGAAACAACCATCAGCTGATATCACTTTTGCAACAAAGTATTTGTAGGATGTGAACTTGGTCCTGAGATGGATGCACACTATGCTATGGACAGATTAACAAATAACATGGAGGTTTCATGTCATAAGCATATAATAAAGAAGGGGATTTCTGTCCAGTCTACACTCAGCACCCAAGGGGTAAAGGCCAGTTCTGCAGCAGCCTTCATTCAGTTAGAAGCCAAGCCTTGGGTGTCCATAGAAGGGCATCCTGCTCTTGATCCTCATTTATAGACCAATTAGAAGGCAACCAGGCGGAGGAGGAGACTGCCAGATACCCTGGGTAGCCTGCTAGCTAGCCACCTGTCAGTACACTGTCATATCATTGCAAGGAGCAAGCTTTCTGAGAACACATCACACTGCAAACCACTTCCATGTACAGCACAACACTGGCAATTGAGAAGTTGTTGGTGTTGTCACTGGAAAACTCAGACAGCTAACAGTTCATAGCATGTATAAAATGTGTGCTACAGAGGACATTATCTTCTGTTTTACTTTGATTTGCATCAGCTTTGGCTTTTGTAAAGTGGTAAGTAAATGCTTATGTGGTTCAGTTATAACTGTCCCTGTTATGAATAGCACACTATACTTGCTATAACTTAATTTAATTAAAAAAACAAAAAACAAAGACCCCCCCCCCCCCCCCCCTCCAATGTGTGTGATGACACCAGAAAGTGATGTAAAACATATATTCCTCCTGATCTGTTTAACTTAGTGAACTGTTTGAAAAAGTTTTAGAAGGAAAAATGTAATTGCTATTAAATAAAAATCTGCCACAAAACTAAGTCCAAAAAAAAATGAAAAATGCAGCCATGGAGCCAGATTACAGAAAAGCATCAGCCTGAATGACTTCTGGTGTTGGGAGGGGGTTAATCTCCAAAATAAATGCCAGATTTCTGTAGAGAATGACCTCTCTAAGGAGGGAAAAGGTGTATAAAGCAGAGTTCCCCCTATTCTCCCTGCGTTTCCAGTGACTACACACATGACATCCCATTGCAGCCCTGTTACCTTGACACTGGACAGATCAAATGCTGGTTCTTTGGGTTTGACTGGTTCTGGGGCTGCGGCCGGTGCCGGTGCCGCAGGGGCAGCAGCAGCTGCTGGTTTCTTCACATCCTTCTTAGGTGCCATTGTATTTGAGTGTTATTTGAGCAAACAGGGGAGCCGATTAAGGATCCAGAAGGAAACAAGCAGCCTTAGTGTTGGAGGTAAGATCAGGACGATCCTCAGCCTAGAGCCTAGATGTGGAACCCAGTGTGTTTTTCACTATTAGGGCATATTTATATTTCGCTTAGTACCTAACACAATCTGCACGCATGCTGCTGGATTGGACAGTTCCCCAGTCAAGGAGGATGTCATCAGGACTAAGACTATAAATGGAATATAAGGGGTCAGGGCTACATCAAGCCACGGGACTTCTATTTTTTTCCGCCTGCCTGGAATTTTGGGATATGTGTAAAGGACAAACACACATGAATAAGCTGCCTGGGAAGCCCTTGTTGACATCTAGTTGCAAGTGGGGTCGTTTTGATTTTTTTTTTTTTTCTCCTGATGGAATTTTGTGTTGTTGCTCAACAGTAAATCACACAATGTCACAATGTCTCATACATTCCAAACTCTGGCAGCCCATGAGATTTCAGGCTGGAATTTATTTTTTAAGCAGTGGGGTTCAGAAAAGTTTACCCCCCCCCCTTCTTCCCATTCTTTTTTACATACCCTGAATCTGCCCCCCCAATCTCTTCCTTTCATTTGAGGAAAAGTGTTGATCCAGCAGTGTGCAGCCCAAGGGTTTAAAAATAAAAGCAGACGTATATGGCAAGTCGTCCTTGTCACCTCCTCCTGTTTCAGAGAGAATGTACTGTACGCACAAGCCCCCCATCCTGGCTGCTTTTGTATATTAATTACATTCTGAAGCCAGGCTAACGTTCCTTATGGCTGATCCGAGAGGATGAGCTTCAAATTCACAATGCGAGGCATGGAGGAGACACTGAGCCATGGAAATCATTCTATATGTAGGTCTGTCTGTTCCACTTGTTGCAAGAGTCTTCCTCAATGAGCAGATAGGTGTGCTTGTGTGTCAGACCTCGAATTATATGTCCAGGTAAACTGTGTTTCATAGCATTCTCAGCATGATGTGTGAGATATGTTCTACAGTATATGTTTGTGCTATTAATAAATATATATTGCATTTCTATGTCATAAACTGTTAGTCAATCATTTACTCTGGTGATGTGTCAGGTACTTGACTGGATGGTATAGCTATATATCAATCCAATCACATCTGTCTCTCTTTCCATCTCTCTCTCTCTCTCTCATTTCATCATCTCCATCTATCCAACCTCATGACTGGATGGTATAGCTATATATCAATCCAATCACATCTGTCTCTCTTTCTCTCTCTCTCTCTCTCTCTCTCTCTCTCTCACTCTCTCTCTCTCTCTC